GTCTAGTGGCTTGTTGGTTAGGCTTCTTACTTGTAACAGGTCGCGGGTTCTCGAAGCCCACAACCTATATAAAAAAAGATTTTTTAAAACTTTGCACAGTTATTAATTAAGCCCCTTGGCTCGTAGACTAAAATAATTATTTGACCTTTTCCTAACAAATTAAAATCTTAAACCATTCTGACATAGGATTAGTGAAGACTATTTAAAACCTTAAGACTTTTTTTTTGGGAAATAGAGCTAATAGAATAACGAGGTTGTGGGTGCATATTTTTCAAACAACTCACTATTCCTGGAGCAAGCCTATTATCGTTATTACTTCAGGTTTGTTTCTCTCTTTTGCCTGTCCAGATCTTTTTGTGCAACTTATTTTTTATAGAGCTTATTTTTCTTTCAACTTCTGAATGCACTTTATTGGTTATTTGTCTTGGTTGATTTTCTCGGAGAAATTATTGAATTATGAGTAAAACATTACTATTAGCGGCGACATGCCAATGGATAGAAATATTGAACAATAAGGAGAAGTAATTTCACAAAAACTACTCCACCGTATAAATTATATGTGCTTAACAATAAGGTTAGTTGTACTTTTATTCAAAATTCATTGCTTGAAGATATTCTTTTTTGTGCTTAACAGTTTGGGGTTTTATTTCTTTTATTTGTTCATGATCATAATTGTGATGATTTTCTTTATTTATAATTTATTTTTGTTTGATGTGTTTGATTAATTTTAGAGGTTAAATTGTGGGATTACCATAACTTTAATTTGTAAGTGATAGATCTTTAATTGCCTTCTAATTTATCATTATTTCGGATCTTTAGTATTCTCTTATTTATTATATGTGTCTACTATTTAGGCAGAATACCCTCACCCATTCTTACTAAGAAACTGAAAGAAGTTATAATAAAATGTGACATGGGCTATTGTTAATGAAGTTGAAAAGTTTGATTATGATCCTTAATTAATTAATTTTTGTAGAAGAAGATAATAGGAAATCAAAAAATACGTATCAATCTTTCTCCCATATTTGTTTCTTTCTATTCTTTTATACAATGGTATTATTTAGGCTTCTATCTAAATTGATACTTAAATTTATAATTTAGCATAAATTTCAATGGAGAGATTTTTTCCTAAGGAGTCTTCCAAGCTCCCAAAGCTAAGTTCAACATCTCAAGATTTAGTTAACTTGGAGGAACAAGCAAATGAGCCACAGCAACATCGTCAAAATGAAAGGGTTGATTTGAGTTCCTTAGAAACTAATCCTGGGGAAAGATTACCTATTCGAAAATATCGTCCAAATGATCGTGATGCAATAAGAAGAGAATATATCAAAGAGGTCTTTTTCGACCTCGAAATCATAACTTTCCTCAAAGAAATTTTTATGGTAAAATGTGTCATTTTAATCCTCAATGTTTTGATGAGTACGATTGCTTGGAGTATAGTGTAACAAAAGATGCAGCTTTTTGCTTTTATTGTTATTTGTTTCAAGATGAATGCATCAATCAAGGGAGAGAGAATGTATTTTCAAGTATAGAGTTTGCAAGTTGGAATAAGAAGAACAGATTTGATATGCATATTGGTGGACCAAGTAGTATTCATAATCAGTCAAGAGTGCTAACGTTTTGTTGAAACAAAAACAATCAATTCAAAGTGCATTTGCTAAACAATCTTATCAACAAAAGATAGAATATCGGACTCGTTTAGAAGTTGTCGTTGATGTGATAAGATATCTTTTGAACCAAGAACTATCATTTCTGGACATCGTGAAGATGAATCATCTGTTTATATAGGTAATTTTATTGAACTTCTTAAATGGCATGCTAAATGATGTAAAGATGTTGGTGATGCACTTAAAAGAGCTCCAAAGAATAAGCAATTAACTTATCCATAAATTCAAAAGGATAATATCACTGCATGTAAAATGGAAACAATTAAATGTATCATTGAGGATTTAAATGGTGATTACTTTTCCATCGTAGTTGATGAATCTCGTGATGTATCGTGTAAGGAGCAAATGGCTATTGTTTTGTGCTATGTTGACAGAAGGGGAAGTGTGATGGAGAGGTTTATTGGTATTGTTCATGTTCGTGATACTGCTGCTTCATCCCTAAAGAATGAAATCACGGGTTTACTTGCTCGACATTCTTTAAGTCCATTTCATATACGTGGACAATGTTATGATGGAGCAAGCAATATGCAAGGATATATAAATGGACTTAAAATCTTGATGCAACGAGAAAGTAAAGGTGCTTATTCAATTCATTATTTTGTTCATCAACTTCAATTAACTCTTGTTGCAATTTCTAGAAGATGTGATGAAGTGCAAGAACTCTTATTATTAGTTTTCGATATACTGAATATGGTAGGAGCTTTTTTCAAGCGCAGAGATGAACTTCGTGAGTCTCAAGTAGAAGAAATTGGAGAAACATTACGTAAAAGTGAGCTAGAAACCGGTAGGGTCTTGACTCAAGAACTAGGACTTGCTAGAGCTGGTGATACTCGATGGGGTTCTCACTACAAATCCTTTAACAATTTTATTCTTATGTTTGGCCGTATCATGGATGTACTTGATGCTATTGTTGTTAATGCGCGTTTTGAAGAAAAGTGTATGGCAAAGGGGCATGTTTAACATTTGAGGTAGTCTTTATAAAATGTCAGCTTTTGAACTAAGAGGGAGATGGAACCAAAAGTACCAATGCATAATCATGTGTTCTATCTATCTATAAGCTTTGAGGAGGATTTTCGCAAAGGTTCAGTATGATGTTACATACACCCAGGCTCCATAAATATCACAACCCCATAAGAGTATATAAGAATAATGTTAGGAAGAACGTTACGCGAATTGAGAAGAAAAGAAAGTTTACCCCATGCTCATAATATACGTTCAAAGCATCGTAAAAAAGTTGGCCAAAGGGCCTGTGATGACAGTACATTCAGGATTCCGTGCAACTATAGGAACGAATGTGTCGATGATTTGTCGCCTATCGTGCTTATTTAGAGAAATCAGAGTTATGAATAATGTTCAAAACAATGTTATACGGAAGCTTAAAGATGATACGAAAAGCAAGGTATCTGTATCTAAGTTTCGGAATGAGTAAGATAAGATTCAAGGCAACGCTATGTTTCAGTTCCAAAAGAGATACGTTTAAGTTACCCTATGTTACTTATGTCAGATGTACCCTACTCAAAGTCGACGTATTCATGGCACGCCTACGCTCGAGATTTACGCTCTATGTTCATGATCTAAGAGTCAAGATGCTATTCATATTCTACATCATCCATGTCTATGTCCCATCATTCTTATGTTTTACACACCAAGTCGTGCTTATGTCTAAAGTTAAATTCGTATTCGGGTTTCGTGTATATATCGTGCTTATGTACCAATGCCTGTGTTTCAACTGTGGTATGTTTCGAGTATGGCGAAGAATAGTGAGAAAAGAAGTTGAAGGTAAGCTATTTATTAATTTGTATGGCCAAAAAGGGCCACGTAATATTTTTTGCTCATTTTCAGTGTGTTGTGCATTGTGACGTGAGAGGCATATATATGCTTTTGGCTAGCTGACAGGCTTTGAGATAGTTCTATTCACAGAGGAAATTCTACCGAAACTTTTAGAAAATCCTAGAGTTAGCCTTTTCTTTAGTTATGACTCTCATTAGAGGATAAATGATCTCAAGGGAGAGATGATGTAATATCTCGTACTTCCGGGGTTACGTCACAGACCAAAATTTTAAATAAGTTCGCGCATGGCCCAATTTCAAACACGTATCTCTCCTAGGTATAAAAGTTCATGGGGTTCATTACCTACGCAATTAAAGGAATCTGAATCTAGTTTCCAACCAATTAAATCGTTCGTCAATCCAACCTCAGTACAAAGCGTTATATGGTTTTTACTACGGACCTGCGCAGTGCCTAAGTGCATGCAGGACACGTGAAACCTCCAAGGTTAAGTCGGCCAAACTTTATGTTTTATAAGCTGAAACTTTGGGAATTTCGTTTTAAATATTTCTCTTGGACGAACTAAGCTTCCCTCTCAAGTTTTTCTTTCTATCATCAAATATCTTCAAGCAAATCGAAAGGGCTCTTCCGGGAGAATGAAGTGAAGAAAGTTATAGGGTTCGGCAGCCAAGATTGAAGCTTATAACAGACGGATCGATTCTTTGTAGTCGAGCTAAAGGTTGAGACTCAAGCCGTTCGGAGCAGCAGACCCTCCAGCTAGATATCAATTTCTATAGTCAACTGCAGATTGTTATCTGAGGCCGAGTCTAGTTCCTTTTTGGTGTACAATTGTCTGGGTAGGTCAGGCCCTGTCCCACCATTTTTATAGTTATAGATGATCTTAGAGTTTTCATAAACAAAAGTCACCCATGCTATGTCCTCAGTTATATTTTGGGCTCAGCTTTACTTAGCTTTTGCAAAGCTTGTGTTTTAAAGGAAAAAGATTTCGCGGTTTTATTATCAGAAATTTTTTAATGAAAATCACATATTATATGTTTTCCTTTCAGATGTTTTCATAATTTTTTCAGATTCATAGAGCAGGGTTCACTTGATCAAGTTAAGGCACCGATTGCCGGTCCGCCTCACCAAGGTTTTGGGGCATGACACTCCTCTTCCTTGTGTTAGTTTAATTAGCCACTCTTAGTTCTAGCATATTATCTCTCTTGATTTGTTATATATGTTCCTCTTGTTCATGTTTGCTTGCCTGTCTTTATATTTAATAAGTTGATTTGATTTGTATCAGCTTTCATTTATTTACTTTAGATTCGCTACTTGTTATAGTTTAGCTTAGTATATCATAGTTTATAGTTTATAGAGGCATTGGTGAATGATGGTAAAGTAGGTCATGTTCTTGGGTGGGACGGGAGGTGGAGCGGATGGGAGCGGGCAGGGGCAAGGGTGGTAATAGGGGCAAGGGACCCTCTAGGTTGAGAGTTGGGTCTTGGAACATAAGAACTTTAACAGAACAATTTTTAAAGTTAGAGAAGATTCTCGCAAAGAGGAAGATCAACATTGTTTGTGTCCGGGAAACTAGATGGGTGGGAACTAAAGCGCGTGATGTAAACGGATTTAAGTTGTGGTACTCGGGAGGCTTGAGGGGTAAGAATGGAGTAGGCATTTTGGTAGGGAGGAACTTAGAGAGAAAGTGGTAGAGGTTGGGAGGGTGAGCAATAGGTTTATGGTTATTAAGCTAGTTATTGGAGGGCTTTCATGTAATGTAGTAAGTGAAAACGCACCTCAATGGGGCTTCTATGGGGTGGTAAAAAGGCATTTCTGGGATGATTTGGACGAGGTCGTTCTTAGTATTCCACACACCGAAAAGTTATTCATAGGAGAAAATTTTCAACGACCACATCGGAGCAAGCACAATGGGGTATGACGATGCGCATGGGGGTATTGATTTTTGATGTTTGGCTATAAATGTATATTTTTAGTGCATTGATCACCTTACATTTTAGTGTTTTAATGATTGATTATGTGACGTTTGAGCTTAATTATGTCATTTTTATGTGTAGGATCGTTGAAGGATGAAAACGCATGAAGGTTGCACCCAAGAATGTCAAAGATACATAAAAAAGAGCACGAAAAGGCAAAAATTGGACAAGGCCCAGAACCAGGCGCCAAGCCAGGCAACGCCTAGTCCCAAGCGAGATGCAACGCGCAGTAGCCTAGGCGAGGCGAGCTCCAGGAGATGCTACAGACTTTCCCACTCAGCGCATTGAACATTCTCTACTTGATTTTGGACTTGGGGATTCCAGCCCTAACCTATAAATACCCTCTAAATGTGATTAGTGGTGGTCAATTTTGAGGGCGGCAAAGGCATAGAAACACAAATGAAGCACGAAATTCATCAATTCTTCCATCTTTCATCTAGTATTCATAGATTTTATGTTTAAAAATAACATATTAATTATTGTCATGAACATGAGTGGCTAAGAACCTCATTATTCTAGGGTTATGGGTTGTACTTGACTATTGTTGTTTGACGGTTGATTATTTTGCTTGAATTATCATATTAGCTTGTTTATTCATTCTTGCACTTAATTATTATGTTGCATAGCTAATAATAGGATATTATCTACGAATTTATAGTTGAACTCGAAAGTGGGAATTATAGATTGCATACAAGATTGAGTAGAGTAAGTTTATGAATCCGGGCATCGGAAAATAGATTCGCGATTAGGATAGACATATTCTAGTTGCCTTATTTGGTTATTTTTGAAGGAAATATCATGTATTCTCATTAATTCTGATTCTATAGACATATAGTATTAGGTTGACTTGAATAGATGAGCGAATCGTTGAAAGAACTTTGCGAGCATAATAAACTCTGTTAACCAAAAAATTAGATAGATTAAGCAGTTGAATCAACCGGAAAAAACGCAATAGGAGAGACATTAATCCCATAACCCCGAAATATCCCCATCATATTGAATTCACTCCTACGTGTTTATTTGCTCTACTTGCGATTTTATTCTCTTATTTGCTTATTAGTTTCGTAATAATTTAGTTAGTAAAAACCACAATCATCTTCCTCAAAATCTCTTGAGCAAATAACTCGTAACTAGTTCAGCTAAGGCAGTAGTTGATCATAAATCCCCATTGGAACGATAATTTCTTATCACTTTATTACTTGTCGACTGTGTATATTTGCGTGTGCGTTTGGGCCCAACAATTGTAGAGATAGAAATGATGGAGGAACTTCGCTATTAGATTTTGCCAAAGCTTTTTATTTGTTGATAGCTAACTAGAGCTTTCTGAAGAAGGATGAGCCTTGATCCCCTTCCAAAATACGGTGGCCAAGACCCAAATTGATTACCTACTCTTTACGAAGGGCGATAGAGGTTTATGTATGGATTGTAAGGTTATTCCGAGTGAAAATCTCACAAGTCATCATAAGCTCTTGGTAATGGACTTTGACATTAAGAGAAAGAGGAAAATGAGGGTTGTGCATGGTCAACCTAAGATCAAGTGGGGAGCCTTTACTAAGGACAAATCCCAAGTGTTGGAGAAAAGGTTGATGGAAATGGGCGACTGGAGGAGGAGTGGAGACGCGAGTTACAGGTGAACTAGGACAGCGGATTGCATTAGAAAAGCAGCTAGAGCGGTGCTAGGGATCTTGAAAAGTTACTCTGGTGGACAGAGAGGAGACTGATGGTGGAATGAAAAGGTCTAAAGGAAAGTGGAAGTAAAGAAGGCAGCATATCTAAAGTTGGTGGAGAGAAAGACAAGGAGAATAAGAGGACGAACATGGATAGCTATAAGACAAAAAAGAAGGAGGCGAAGTTAGTGATCACGATGGCGAACAGCAATGTTTGAACGCCTGTATGCAAAACTTATGGAGAAATGTGGGGATAAAAATTTATACAGGCTAGCCAAGGCGGGGGAGAGGAAGGCCCGTGACCTGGACCAAGTGAAGTGCATCAATGATGAAGAAGGCAAAGTATTGGTGGAAGAGGTACATATTAGACAAAGATGGTAGACATACTTTCATAAACTTTTGAATGAAAATAAAGACATGAATATTATGCTAGGTGATTCCGAGCACTCCGAGAGTCGTCGAGATTTTGGGTATTGTAGGCGTATTAAGGTTACGAAGGTCGAATGGACTTTGTGTAAGATGAGCAGGTGAA